CTTCCTTAGAAAATGTTTTTTTTTTTTAGGTTTATTCAATAATTTAAATATATTTCTAGGCTGTTGTCTAGATAAAATAATTTTAGTATCTTTTTGAAAACGTCTTTCAGTTTTTTTTTTATTTATTATTTGTTTTGATTGCGTATTAACAAATGAAATATCTCACGCAATTAGTCAATTACTAATCGCTCTTTCCAAATGTTTTGTGGCCTGGTGGTTAGGGCGCTCGACTCCCAATCTGAGGGTCGGGGATTCGGATCCCCTTCACCGAAATTGCTCACCCTTTCAGGTGCGGTGGCGTTATAATGTAACGGTCAATCTCAAAAGTGTAGCCCAAGAGTTGCCGGTGGGTGATGCTGACTAGCTGCCCTACCACTTCTAACTTATGGACGGCTAACGCAGATAACCCTTGCGTAGCTTAGTGCGAAATTCAAAACAAATCAATTATTGTTGTTTTTTATTTAAAAAATTATTCTTATTAATTTCAAAACCTTCGGGCGGTGGCGCTGAATTAAAACACATTTTAGCTCTAACGATTTATCGACTCGTTTCTTTACTAGAAACCAAGCGATATAGTAGACAACTTATGTGTTTGGGATGTTTACTAAAAAAAAAAAATTGACATACTGATGGGAGTTTGTGGTTTGGTTTTAAAAAATCAGTTACAATATCATTTTCTGGTGAAACACCAGCACATATAAAAAACGGGTAAGGTTTATTATTTCTTTGAAAGATAAACGTTTTCTTCTTAATTATCGAATTTAAAATTCCAGCAGATGTATTAATACCTTGAGTATCCTTCCATACAGCAAAACAATCATATTTACGTAAACTACAACATCCTCCAAAATATTTAGGTAATTTGTTTGTTTGTTATTAAGTACATTAAATAATTGTGATATTAGCATAAATTGGAGCGACTTTTGTACCCATTTCTTTATAGTAAATTTAGTTCTTCATAGTTACAAATGCAGTATTTAAGATGTAATGTTTCTAAGTTCACCTTTAAATGAAACATCGGACATGGATCAGGCTACGACCCCAACCTTTCAGGCCGTACACAGAATGTTTGAAAAAGAGGTTTTAAATTGTGACATTAAATGCCAGTACATACTGTACAAAGCACAATCAGCATGCAAAGCATGCTAATGCTACGAGGTCTATGGCCAAAAAATGCTAATACTTCATCAGAAAAATGTAAAC